ATCTAATAAGAGTTCACCAAGGCCAGTTGTACTGGGACTGAACGAGCTCGTGATTCAACCAGATTCTCTGATTGTGGCCGATTCTCTGAATGTGGCTGGCCCGGGGTCTTTCTGAAAAGCCATTGACAATGGCACTGGGACTTGTTTCCTCTGCATATACTGGATTTTGGGGATCCAGTCTGTCTGGACACTCACCTTCCTGGACCTGGAGGGAGGGGGGAGGAACTTGAACTTCCCAAAGGGCAGGAAACCCTGACTGCTCTTAGGGATGGAGAGGGAGGAGGAGAGGGAGTGGGGGGAGTGGGAGGGTGTTGGGAGGAGGGGCGGAAATGGAAACTTTTATAAATTAATAAACTTTTATAAATTAAAAAAGAAAGAAAGCAATGAACAACAAAAAAAAGAAGGTAAGCTGAGCATGTGTGTCAGCCTCTCACAGAACCCTTCCGTGGTAGGAAGGAAGGAAAGAAGGCAGGAAGGGAAGAAGCCATACGTGAGAGCCAAAAGTCAGAGAGCTGAGCCAAAGAGAAGAGAACAAGAGCCAGCAGGACCCTAGAGCCTGAGACCACCTGGAACAAGCGCCACACCCACGCTAGAAGCAAGAGCCGGGCCAGTGAGACGACTCCGCTGGCAAAGGGGCTTGTCGCCAAGCCTGACAACCTGAGTTCAATGCCCCAGGACCCACATGGTGGAAGGAGAGAATGGACGCCTCCAACTTTGGACAACTCTGACCTCCACAGTCTCAGGATGACGTGTGCATGCACACATGTATATGCACTCACACTCACACACACACACACACACACATACACACACACACAGTGTAAAATGTAATGAGCAAGAGAGGCGTGTCTCTGGAACCAGGAATAGAGAGCTGACATGGAGCCTACAAAGGGAGCGGTAAAGACAGGACGGCTTAGCCCAAGTAGCCCTGGCCAGCCAGGGACAATGTATTTACATCTCCAGTTGAGAATGTGTGGGTCACAGAGAGAAGGGCAGTGGCTGCATCAGGAATGGCACTTGGAGAGAGTCTGGAGCTTCACAGGCCAGCCACTGCAGTGTCAGGACTTCACCAGCTAGCACCACACTCTCCCTCCCCTCCCCACCTGGCGTCAGTTAGAGTCAGGCTCCCGACACAGACAGCACATACTCCATGGAACTCTCAAGCACACACGAGCACCCACTCAAAACACAGGACCCTACAGGGAAGACTGCCCTCTAGGAAGCCAAAGACTCCAAACACTATTTGTTCTCTTCCTCCCGACGAAATGCAAGGAGTCCAGGATGTCTTTAGAGTGAACGCTAGAGGGCGCACCCTCCAAGGAAAATTAGAGGCAGAATCATGCCAAGGAATTAGCAAAGCACCGTTATCCCTCAGCCTTGGGGATTTGAATATGTAAATATTTATTCTAAATTTATAAATACCAAATGTATTCACATGTAACATTCCATCTGATAATGTAGTCATTGCATATTTATGAACACAGGAACTGAAAAGTATTTTCCATTATAAACTGTCTGAAAAAAAAAAACATTAGAGAAAATCCTCCGGCAGTAAGAAAAACGAACCTATAAAGAAGGGTTTAAAAGCAGCAAGAACAGGAGAATCAGCAAACACGGTGAGTAGCCAGGTAAGTACCTCGAATAGAACTGTCTGAGCTTACAAAATAGGATGCGTGAGCCTGCATCACCTCAAGCAGCAAACAACCTCAGCCTGGAGGGCAGAGGGAAACGGCCGGCGGACTGAGCTCTCCCGTTTACCTGGGAGTCCAGACTCGGGTCTCCTCCCTTTGTGACTTAGATAAAAATGTACTTCTAGACAAGCAGAGTAGTAATTCAGTGGCAGGCCACCAGAAAAGAATGGCAGAACATCATAAGCCAGTACAGTAAAAAGTCACAAGAAAGAAAACCTTCAATCGCTCTGACAAGGGCCAGGAAGAGAAAGAAACCGAAGTCGAGGTAAAAAGAGAAACACATCCTGGTGGCCTCTAAAAACTAGTAAGTAAGCTGCTAGTGGAAGAAGAAAAAGATGTTTGAACATATTTTTTAATGGCAAGTGACCTAATTTTTCACTTCTTTTTAAAAATTATTTATTTATTTTATTCTATATAAAGGAGTGTTTTGCCTGCAGGTCTGTAAGTACACTGTGTGTCTGCCTACTGCCAGTAGAGGCCAGAAGAGGTGTCAGAACCCCTGGAACTGGAGTTAAGGATGACTGCAAGTCGCCATGTGGGTGCTGGGACTCGAACCCGGGTCCTCTAGAAGTGCAGTGCGTGCTTCTAACTGTGGAGCCATCTCTCCAGCCTTCTAAGCTTTCTGCTCATAAGAAGACATAAGTGAGTCACCGGTGTGTGAACCAGTATGGAGCCTCCCTGAGTACCCGTGAGGCAGGAAATAATGGGGCTGGTAAAGGTGCAGAGAGAGGGGAACACTGAGTGTTGATGGGAATAAAAATTAGTATAGTCACTGGGAAAAACAGTAGAGGGAGTCCTCAAAATCTAAACACGGGATTGGGCATGGTGGCATGTGCCTTTGAGCCTAGCACGCAAGAAGCAGAGGCAGGTGGATCTCTATGAGTTAGAGGCTGGCCTGCTCTACATAACCTGGGCCAGCCAGGGCTACATAGTGAGACCTTGTCTAAAAATAGACAAGCTGACTACACTCAGCGACACCATTCCTGGGTGTGAACATCCAAAGGAGAAGAAATGAAGCTTGTTTCCACATTCTCTGTAGAACTACTTGCAGGAGCTCAGATAGGGAACCAGCAGAGGTTAAAGAAACCGCAGCATGTGTGTGCGGCGGAATACTACTCAGTCATAAAAATGAAATCCTGTGATGAACAGGACTGAGCCTGTAGAATATCAGGTTGGGCAAAATAAGGTAAACACAGACAACAAACAAGCTTTTTTTTAAAATGCTGCTCTCATGAAAGTCCAGAGGCTGGGAAGGCCAATGAGCAGAGGGAGACAGGCACGGGCTCGTGTTACAGAGCACAGTAGAGTGGGCACACTCAGCAGTGGAGCATCGAATGCCTCCAGAGAGCTGGAGGGGAGGACTGAGATTGCTCCCGACCCACAGAAAAGGTCAGTGTTTGAAATGACTGCTGGCTA